TCACCGCCTGAGGGAAGCTTCCTTCCCTCATGCTTTGAGTTTCAGTTAAGATATACTATTAAGGAATACCTATACCTACCTGTACCCATCGCTACCCTCTGCCTATCTCCATAGGCCGTTCCTGACAGGCATCAACTCGTACGGCGGCGGGCATACTATTAGTGGTAACGGCTATCGTATAGTAATAATAAAATAGTATAGAAGATCCTAATTAGCTAGATTCTATAACTTAATTAATTACCGTCCTCTATATCCTTATTAGACTTAATTAATAAGTTACTTAGTTAATTACTTAAATGATTCTATTGAAGGATCTAAGAGAAAAAGGAATCTTAGACCTAGTATCCGAGATCTAGCTAATTAGGAATAAAGAGTGTCATCCTGTACATTATACAGGCAAATTCCACTAGTTACGTTTCAGCCTGTAGATTCTCCATTACAGTAGCTTCGAACGATAGCCTACCGCTAGACACTGCTTATATCTACTTAACCTAAGTCCTTACTATGCCCGCCTCTAATTCTTTAATCGATAGTCCGGAGATTTTTTCCGAGGTAGTCGTGATTCCCCACGAATTAGCCTTCGCCCCTTCAGAAACCGCGCATTTCAATGTGTCAAATGTAAACTAGCCGGCTGGTACCGGCAGTCTAGACGTACCCTCTCCTTATGATGTCGTTACGGCGGTGTAGCTGCTTTTCACCATAGAGATGCTTAGATCATTGATCGCCGAACACACTAAGGAGGAAAAACTATCTAGGCGCGAGCTATGGGTTCCCTACCCCTTTTTTGGAAGGGGGAGCCCGAACTCACAGGTATGTGGGCTTCTAACTCTCGCGTGATGTTTCTATCCTCACTGTCTTTCCTTACGGGACCTTTCTCCGAAGCATGATCACCGTTTTAACGTGATGGATCCTTGGCCGTAGACAACGACTTGGCTAGCCAGCGTCAACAAGGCCTGTGAAGCCGCTATTTTCGCGTCCATCATCGACGAAGTCCTACGATTACATCTCTACAATATGACCCTGATATTTGATTCAACTCTCACTCTGGATCTCTCGCTCGGCCTCCCTCGTCGATTCACTGTATGACGCAGTAATTACGCCGAGGAATGAATTGCATCCGGCACAGCTTCTGCGTCCGGCATGCACCGAGTACCGCGGTTGATTCTGTCTCGCCGTCATAACCACAATGAAAGCCACCAACCACAAGTCGCTGTGAAGAAGTCTGTCACCGCGATCGACGTACTTCAAGAGTTTACAAAAACATTAGAGTCCTGCCAAAAACTTTAATTCTTGGTCCCGGATTCTCTATCCAGCCGAGGTTTGCTCTTTGCCCACGTACTCCGCTAAGCGGAAGGGGAATCGAATAATGACACCAGCACAAGTCAGAGGCGATCCTCTTGTTGTGACCTCGACGAAAGAGTGGACAGAAACCATCTGACCTTGTCGTCAGCCGATTAATTCTTCAGTTGTGCCACCAGCAGCCTCCCCAGGCGCGAGAGGGGTAAACGATACGGTATCTTGAGTCGACCGGCTGTCTGACGTAAACCCTGCACAGTGTGGTACATCTTCACTCTCTTCACAACTATTCAGACACGTCCCCCTTAGAATAAACAGAAAAATCCGCTATTCATGGGCATAAATAATCATGTCAGTCATTGCGAGTGGAATCGACGGAGGCCTCCCACAGGCGAAGCATGTGGAAAGAAGACCTAATGCAGAAAGGAAGAAGATTGGAGGCGGCTTTTCTCTTACGCCTGCCGATATTGACGAGTGTTGAAGGAGGAGCCTTCAAGAGGCGCACTCGCGCCTTTCCTTATCAATCTCGACATGGATGTCGCCTCAGTCAAGAAAATGATCTCCCAACTGGTGAGAAGCTGGAAGCATTCAACGACAGAAACACTCTTGATTGGTGGAAAGAATATCCAGGCACCACCGCAGGGGAGCTGAGCCTCTTCCTAATGGCCTCACAGCACACCACCCGAAAGAACTCCCAAGGCCAAATCACACTACGTCGCTCGACGCAACATCCGCGAGCACGCAGGAGATCCTATAACCCATATATTACTGGATTTGGGGCCAATGAACAAGCCGCGCCGTGTTTTCTCGCGTGAGATCTCTCTGCAAAGCACCCCACAAGATGAGGTAATGGTGCACGAGGTCGAGTTTGGAATTAAAGAAATGCATGGGATCGGCTCTGGTTAATTCGGAAAGATTAATACCACCTGCCTTAAACACTTTGCAAATAGCCCACGACCCCAAGTGTTGGAGGTACAAGAATACAGCACGCGCCACGACGAACAACATACATATTGGTTGTCCCCTCCGTGTCTTTCCATGGAAGAGGCCAAAATCCTCGACTCGACGCCGTCCGCCCTCATCACCGCTTTCCACATCCTGCACCGCTACAACATCCTCGACGAGCGTGGCCACATCTCGGTGCGCCACCCCACGGACCCGTCGACCTTCTTCACCAGCAACGTGCCCGCCATCTTGGTATTCTCCAAACGCGACCTGAATCAATGGCGGGTGCACGACGGCTCGCCCGTCACGGAGTCGCACCCCACAACAGGATGCCAGATCGTGGAGGCGGACAAAGTGCCCGAAGGCTCGGAGCATTACCTCCACAGCTGCGTGTATAACGCCTATCCCGGTGTCCTGGACGTGGCGCATTCGCACGCCATCGAGGCCGTCGTATTTGGCCTGTGCAATGCCTCGGGGGAGCATGATGTAGCCGAGATACCGGGATGCTGGCTATCTGGGCCCTTCGTCGCCCATCTTTGACGCCGCGAAACCTCACGGCTCGCTACCGTGGTCGCATCGGCAGAATCTGCTCATCGACCACGTCCGCCCGGGCGACGCTGTGGCCAAGACATTCAATGGCGTCGACACGTCCTCCTACCCCCCTCCTCTCCCGTGGTTTCCCCCACACCATCGTCTTCGAGCGCGGCCATGGCTTCGACACCTGGGCCGAGAACATTCCCGACGCTGGGTGGCGCACCATCCACGTGCGGCGCAACGGGCTCATCCAAGCGGCCGCCATGGAACAACGAGGGAGCATGGATCTGGAGGTCATCTACTTGAGTGATCGGGAGTGCAGGGACGGCAGGGATATGACGAACAGAGCAACCCCTTTGATCTGGAAGGCCTGGGCGGCCGAGGTAGAAAGGTTGGGGATGTACCACATTGAAATGATGGCCCAGCGCCAGAGATAAGAGAGATAGGCAATGGCCCTTCGATCACACACGCCTGAAGGTGAACGAGGTTCAAAACCCCTAAGGTGCTGCCCCCGGTCGGCCTCTCCCCCGGCGGGCGAGGGACACAATTCCCGAACAGAAGGTGTTCACTCCTGTACGGGGTGCACATTGTGGCAAGGTTACCCGCGAAGATTCAACGCTCTAACGACCGAACCTATGTCCCACGGCGAGCATGAGAATGAACTCGGCAACTAAGCCTGTCACTGAGGTCACTTATTTGGTACTTGATGGTGTCCGTCAGTGTCAATTTTGATTCGTTTCTAGTTTACACTTAACGCACCGGCGTTATCGAATTGTCTAAGATGAAGTAGTGGTGTTCTGAAGTTGAAATTCATCCATTCTAATATTTGTGTGACTTGGCTCCCTTCTCCAACTTCCACATTAATGCGAAAAGTTCAAGTGTAGATTGTAGTGGTGTTAGGGGCCAGAAATCTAACGCCCCTTGGTTGCACGACGAAGCCACCCCGCGTGCGAGCGAGAGTCTCGTCCACCAGCTGTTTCCTCCAGGGCGGCAGATCAAATATCTGGCCGTGGTCGAGGTTCGGGCACCACACCACGTTCAGCCTGTCATCACCCCTGCAAATGTCCTTTTCTGCCATGGACCTTTCTGAACCGTAGTCTTCCGGCACGACATCGCCGTTGTCGCTGACGCGCTCGGTCCTACTTACCTCGCCTCCCCTGGGTGATTGCAGGTATTCGTAAACGAGGGGGGCGTTGACGATTGAGTCTTTGCCGACGAGGAAGACGGTAGCGTGATGGCTCAAGAGGTCGTTCTTCCACAGGATGTTCTCGGACCAGAAGAAGGTGCGGGAGAGCGTGTGCGCCACTCCCATATCCTTGGAGCCAAAGTACCACAGCAGCCATTCGTTAGCGAGCTTGGGTTTGCGCACAGTCTAGTTTCAGTGTTAGCCCAATACCCCGTGTCGATCCTTGCGGGGTCGATTTAGAGGGAACTGCCTTACAAAGTTATAGGCAACATCCGGTTGATGAAGGAGGATGGACACCGGATCGACGAGGACGACTGACGCGATCATCCTCGCCAGTTCGGGCGTCTTCAGAAGATGTGTAGAGATCACCGAGCCATACCTAATGAGCAACGTCAGCAAGGGATCTCGATATGAAGAGGGGGTGGACGGACGAGTGTGACACCAGAACGAACCGCCCAAACCCATGGTGCTGTAAGATGGTCCGAAGCTGTCGACACATTTCTTGCTTCCGAGGCAAAGGCGACGTGATTCGAGACGATATGGGTAGCATCTCAACGGCAAGGATCCCAATGACGCCATCCTCGGCCTGGCGTCCTTGATTCAATTCCTTCATGAATTCCATGTAAGGGTACAGGCCGACTCCGATACCGTGGAGGAAAAGAATCGGCAGCTCCGTCCGAGAGGTATGGGGGCGATACCAGTAGGTCAGATTCTTGGCAGGAGAACGGTGGGTTGTCAGGAGAGACAGCGGCCGTGGAGGGAAGACGTCGAAAAACAATTGCCTCATCGAAGCACGGTAGTGGTGGAAGTCGTGGAAGCGCAGGTAGGCATGCGTGAGGACGTCGACAACGGAGATACACAGTAAGGACTTTAACACTAGTCATTCGAGAACAGGGGGAGCGGGAGCCTTACCCAGTACCAGACTAGACTTCGATGGAGAGCGTCGACTTTATCCAAGGTCAACCGGAGACACTTGACATCAGCACGCCCGTGCTCGAAATCGAGCCCCGCGCGACGTTCGAAGCTCTGCACATATTCTTCCACTTCATCATCGTAGGCGCTATCGGTCAGGTCGGTGTTGAAAAAGGCCCATCGGAAGAAATCTTTGACATTCTCGCGCTTGAGGGCGGTTAGAGGTGTATAGAGGAACCAGCCTGACAGGTATCGGATGGCATCCTGCGTGCTCTCCTGACAAAGGTGGAAGAGTTTCTGCCGCTCCTCTTTCGATAGAGCAGGAGGATTGACGGCCGGACGCTGGAGTTGACGTCTCTTGTAGAGATAGAAAACCAGACAGAAGACGGTCTCTGCCACGGCCCAATATTCGAAGAAGATAGGAAGTCGCCAGGATTTCGGCAGACACCACCTCAACAACATGCAATAGACGACACAGACCGGGGCAATGGAATGCAATATGATGACCCATGACTTGACCCAGATATAGTCGAACGTGGAGCTTCCGATCATGGCGAAGTGATTGCGGATGAATCGTTGCGGGATCGAATTGCTTTTCAAGAGGAGTTGAGTTCTATATGGATGGCATGGTCCATGGCCGAAACTTTTCCAGCCTTAAGAACAGTCGTAGATAAACACTCACATGTAAGGCGCGACATTCTGTTGGGACGTGGCGGGTTGGCCATAAAGCGTAGAAGACATGTGCTAATGACGGGAGAAAGGTACGACAACAATCCGATTCTGCATGTGGCATGTGGAATTTCTGGAAGATATTATGACTAAGACGTCAGGATGGCGAAAAAGCTGTTATCTCAGATAAATCAGACCCTTACCTCAGATGGCCTGGCGGCCATTACCGTTACACGCTAACTTTTTACGGAGTTAGAAACCTTCGTAGAAGGGTCTGAGCACCAATACGTATAAATAGGCGATCATCGCGTTCGCTACATTTTCGGGGGTTCTTTAATAACGATAACTAACTAGCGTATTACACGTATATATAATATCTTTAATACTCTCTCGACTATAAAACGTACTTTTCCGTTTTCGAAAATACTAGAAACCTATTAAGATATCTTTATATTCTTAATCTAATATAATATCCTTTAAAGCTGAAAGATTAGTAGAATAATATATGAAGCTAGTAGCTATATAACTAATAGTAAATACTTGTAGATCATTAACACCGGAATCGATATCTAAGAGCTTAGTCCGACTAGAGTAGTATAGAGACGCCTATATTAAGTTTTCTGTCATGAACGACCATGACAACGAAGTGCCAAGACGCACTAGTTAACCTAGTAATAAAGAGGGTAAATCTGAGGAGAGAGGAAGAAGGAAGAACATCCCCTCTCTCTCTCCTTATATCGTACGCTCCTCTATAAGGGATACCTATTATCTTACCCTTTCTCCTTTTTCCTTCCTCTTTCGTACATACCATTCTTCCCTTACGCACGTTCTCCTTACACCTTGTCTCTCTTCCTTACCTTCCCTTACGTATAGTCTTGGCGCTAGTTCGCCAGAACCGAGTATTAGAGCTGCTTCCTGTATGGCCTAACGGGGTTAGGCTTCCTCAGTCACAGTCCTTAAATTACATAAGCTGGGTCGAGAGTACGTAAGGTATGAATAGTCGTATAACTTTAGAATAGTATAGTAAAGTAGATGTTATAAGTTAGCTACGAGAGAGTGTAACTATGAAAGGGTAATAAGCGTAGCTATATACTTATAAGGCGCGCCCCGAATAGGTAATTAGGAATGATATGTTAGTATGTTAATATGGAGTATACTAATATATCGCTATATCGCTAGCTTCCTCTTTTAGTAGTCACGTGCAGTACGTGACTTAGCCTTATCTCCGTTAGGCTGCCACGCCCCGGTAGACCTGCCCTTAGACGCCCCGCGCTCCGGGTCATATGTAGGCCGTTTCTAATACCGAGCCTTCTCCTGGGTTCAACCCATCACATTACGGGCCTTTTATTAGAGACCGTGGAGGAGGTACATCGTTATCTAGGAAACCTAATGCATTTAGTAAGGCTGCCGTCGAGCCCGGATGACGTAGCTGAAGAAGAGACATCTAGGTAGGGCTTTTCAAGATGATCAAGGGTGCGCATTTCCAGACCGCAGTCACATCATTCCATATTCCATCTACATCGTGACAATGTTAAGCATCGACATTGTTTAAGTTCTGCTGCCTACGTCTTATGCCTGATAGTTGGCTAGAAGAGTGTCCTATTTAATAAGCTAATATGTATACCCGGCTAGGTTTCTCGCTCTGCTTGTCATCGCTAAACCCCAGTGGCTCTAACAATCGGCCACGGCGTTGCGCTTTGTAGGTCTTTGTTATCAGTCAAACCTCCTTTTCTTCCTGGTCGCCGTCTCTTCCTTCTGGATGATCGATTTATAATCTTGGTAAGCCAGCCCTTGGCCTTTGCACTCAGTGTGAATTGGGGATGAGTGAACTTATCGTTGGCGACAATGATAGCGCCGAATCCTTGGAGACTCGGTTGCCGACTTTGAGGCTGCTTCTGAGAGAAGGTCCTCGCACCCTGAGGATCGCCGGCACTGATTTCAGCAGCATCAGAGAAGTGGACCATTATTTTGCAGTCCCCAATATCGACCGGGCAGCCACAAGCTCCAGGCTTCAAAGCAGTGCTAGAGACCGGGAGGGTACCGTGCACGCCCTTCAACGTTGTGCTTAAGAGATTTGTACATGGAGCGTCATGTCTAACGTTGTCCGGATCTCGATGGCGTGTTAGAGGGTCTGTGAGTTCTAGTTTCATGGCGGAAAATCACTTGACGCCAGGATATGTCTCCCACAGCCTTGCGAACACTGAGCTATGATGATCTGCTATTTCTGTTCGGGTTCTTCTTGTCAGTAAAGTCATCAAGTACAATAGGTTCACGTAATGTACCGATATACCCTCGAGGCCACAGGTTTCCAGCACCAGTATCGCCTGGACAGTGATCAGGATACCTCGCTTCTTCTGTTGCGCTCACAAGATGCTCAAAGTCACTAAACGCCTTGCGTTCGTGTGGTGCTCTGCCTACACAGGTCGACAGCTATCTACCAGCCTTCCAGGATGGGTTTGACTCGAACCTCTTTAGAGCGCCCGTGCCGTAGTCTCAAACCTGACAGAACAACGGGGTCATAGCTATTCTCTACTTGCAGTGAGGCTATGACCAATTTTGCGGGGCTATGATGAGCTCCATACGGAACTTCTGCGAGTAAATTGCAGTATCTTAGATAAGTTCGGCGTGTTCTGGCGTTCTCGGAGACCTCAATCTGGAGAATAGCTGTGAGATATCTGTTCTTTGAACCATCATGGTGTCAACAGGACCAACGATGACGCTCACCAAGGTTTCAGGCTCTCACTTGGCAGTCGTGGAAATACTAGTGTTCGCGTTAGAGCAGAAGGTGAGCCGAGGGTAAGTGAGCACGTGAGCCAGTCCACGATATCTCCGCGTCACCGCAATCCTATTTTGGAAACCACATCACTCTGTCTCGCTAGTTGGTTGTCCAACCACGCTGCCATCTGAATCTCAACCCTACAGCCATCGCAGCGTCAATTCTCAAAACAGTTTTCATCGGAATCTAATTCCTCTACGAATTCCGATCGTCCCAGTTGGAAGGTCCGGCGATGAATAGCGCGAAGTCCCACTTCGGCCACCATTGCCATTGTCACCAACGGTGACGGGGGGCAAATATGGCAGACACCAGTGAAAATGCTCCTCAGAAAGAATCTACCCTTGACAAAGTTGGCGGTGAAGCTTTGCAATCGCCCAATCCGCCACGACAATTCACAGTCTATGATGTGGTGGCTGGAAGAGCGGGCTTGAATGGATTTTTGACCCACGACCAGAGGCGGTCCGAACATGTTTTACCCCTTGCACCAGAGGAAGTCCTCCTGCGCAGGTCGACCATCCCGGAGCATGTGATCCACGACTCGTATGACGCTGCAGGCGAACTTTCTAGCCACGAAAAGCTACCCGAGTCTGAAATGCTCAAAGCCGTGCATGCGTACGCTTCGGACTTCTACAGTTGCGCCGTACAAGGACAAGGGACATTTGATTTTCGAACTTTCGACGAGACGGCTCTGATTGCCTTTGGAATTCTACTTGAGGAAGCCGTCAAGGAGACCCTAGGACAGGATGGGGATATGGTGTTCGTGGAGCCTGACGGACTAGAGCACGGACTCGACGAAACGAAACTGATCAAACATCAAGTCAAGGGTCGAGTTAAGCCAGCCAAAGCACCCAGGATAGACTCCTCGGATGCAAGTCCGGTTGAGGAAGAGTCACCAGCCAAAAAGCCGCGCCATTGAAAATGAACCGTGGAAAGAAATTGGGCTTCCTGGGTTGAAAAATGATCATGTGTCTGCGCAGGAACAACCAAATCTACCACGGATCACCTTTTCGAATCCCGGTTCCGAAGGTTGATTGCGGGATGGCCTAGATCGACGATAAAGCTTGCAGGAGGGAAGCTTTGCTGCGTCTAGTTGTGGCCAGCTCAAAAACGGGCTTAGCTGAGACAGACTTGCATACTGGAACAAACGTGCTTGGATGGAAAAGGATAGGATGCCAGGGCGGTGGTCTCAAGGCCGTCAATCAGATGGTGGAAGGTGTCACGGCAGGAATCTCCCTTACAGGCAGTTTTTCAATCAGGACTTCTCATGCTCGGCATATGTGCTCAGAACAGGTGGATGATACCCCAGGTCTAGTTACGCTGCTGCAGGGTTTGACGGTGGTTTCTGGATAAGTTAACTCCGTAGGTGGTTAGGCTGTGTGTGTGACACCAACTTATTGGATCATTTTCGGAGCAGTGCGGTAGCTCACGTTGTGGTGGGACAAAACTGAGTTTGCCGGACGTGTGGGCTTCGCAGAGGCAGCTATTAGGTAGGTATAGGCATGGTGGGCTCACGACTCGTAGGCGTCTCCGGGCCCTAACCCGTTGTTAGGTAACCAGTCACCATTCAGTGGTCAGTTGGTCCCCGGTTGCTAGTGCTTGAGTTTTTCTCTGCTGCCTGCCTATGGAACACCCAACTCCACCGGCTCGCCTACTCGTGCACTCGAGAGTTGTTAGGTTCTCGGGCCCCTCCCCACGAAGGAGATGGAAAAAGCTTGACAGGGAGAGTAGAGCCCAACTGGCCCCCCAAAGCATGGCCCAAACACTCTGCCTCGTATGGGTACCACAAGTCGCAGCTTTCTCAACCATTATGATTCCCACCATTCTGTTATTTACCACCTATATATCTACGCGGACAAGTTCTCAGAAACCACTGTGCTGCTGACACCTCGTCTCGTCACACACAGCCACCTTCCCCCTCTTACGGTCCTGTAACTTGGACGGAAAATGAGCCAGGTTGAAGTGGGCCATCGTCAGTGCGCTGCCACCACTGCGAGTATCTGATGACGACGACGGTTAGGGGACGACGAACAGAAGTTGACCTGGCTTGCCTGGAGATCACTAAATAGCAAATCTGCAGTCTGACATGCAAGTGTCCCTCGTTGGAGCAACCCACCACCACCAAGAAACGATACGAACTGCATGCCAATGAGGCTCATCCTGCGCCACTACCCTCTTAAGCACCTCCCCCGTTCAAGCTGTTCTAGGTCGAATTAGATAAGTCCAGCAGTCCAGCCCCCGGTCGACCCTCTCCAAGTCCACCAGTGCATCCACCCATTCTCGCCATCCCACTTGTGAC